ACGATAATTTTGCGATCCCGGTCCTGGTCGGACCCTCCCATTCGAAGAAGTAAATTACATTTCGACATTATCTGATAGTCAGATCCGAGCTATGACTGATTTTCCCAACCCAATCGATAGTTCAGAGCAGTGATCTACCAGCGAACTAGGCTCGGCTAACTTTATTTTTTCGATTAAAGATATAACATATGTTATTTATGGCGCAACTATTACGGAGCAATGATCCAAAGGGTCTAAATATTTTTGATTTACCTGAAGTACTAGAACAGATCTTATATTTTTTAAAAATCGATCGATCCCTCTATCCTGCTTTATTCGTCAACCACCTTTGGTATCACTGCGGTGCTCCTATTCTATGGCGAGATATTGATTTTTTCATAGATTGTCAAGGAAACACATATAATAACAATTTATCTGGAGATCTTTATCGGCGATTATTGAAGTTTAAAAGAGTTATGTGTGGAAAGAAAAAGCCACTCTATTGTTCAAAGATGGTATATCTTAGTTTGGAAGGTTTAAAAATCTCGGATGTTTTGATCAGTGCAATTCTGCATTCATGCCCAGATATACGCTTTCTTATTCTTAATCGAAGTTATGGTTTTACTAATATACCAATTATAAAAATTGCAAAATTTTGTCCGAAATTAATACACTTAAGTCTTAATTCATGTAAATGTCTCACTAATCGATGTATCACTGAAATTACTCGCTCGTGCCTAAAACTTAGACATCTTGAGCTTGGTGATTGCTCGATTAGTAATAAAGCTGTCGAGGAAATAGCCCACAACTGTACTAATTTAAAATATCTCAGTTTGGAAGGGTGTTATAATATTAGCAAAGAAGCCATAGATCAGCTAAATCCAAATACCTATATCAAGAATTTCCTCTGGGATCCGATTCGAGCTGAGATAGAGCGAGTGGTAGATCTAATATCAAGACAGCCTAGAGTTGCTAATATTAGAACTCAGTTTCACCAGACTTACCGACAACCTAATTCCAATATATTCATGATAGCTGACTCTGGTGCCGATTACCCCACTATAGCTATAGGCAGACAAGCACCAAGGAATCATTCGATAACATTATTTGACGATCTAGCTAGTCCGGAGCAGTGATTATCTGTCCAGAAGATTGATTATAAATTGGAGGATCCTGAATTAGAAACTAACTATACTATCACCGAATTTATTCCACGAAGTATTAAATATAGGGGTCAGGAAGCATTATCTTCTCATTTGACATTTGAAACTTCACAAGGCTCATTACACCGTAGATTACGTAAAAAAGATTTCCCTAATCTATTAGCAAAATATTTGATGAGAATATAGATGCCGAGAAGGAGGAAGCCTTCAATGAATTTATCAAAAATTAATGTGTATCGCTGGCTACGTCCCGAACTTTGTTTTTCTTTTTTGTATTAATAAAAATTTCTTGGCAAATTTGGACGACCTGAGAACGGTGAAATCACGTGAATTTTTTCCTTGTATCTATGTAAGTATCATTAGATATATTGAACAATTCCCTTTCTGTATAAAACATACTACAATCATGTCATCCGAGCTTGAATTATTGAGACAGCGTATCACCGAGCTTGAGACTGAAAATGTGAAATTGAGACAGATTATTGAGGAGAATATCAAACGTGAAGCTGAAAATACTGAACTCAAGTTTAAAGTCGGAGAGCTTGAAGCCAGACTTGCAATATTAGAACAGAATCCCCCGATAGTGGATGGACAGCCAGAGAATGATAAAAAAGTGTCATCAGAGGTATCAGTTGTATCTGATTCGTCGCCTATTCACGAAGTTCATAATCAGTTAAAATTAACAGAGCAGATCGAAGAGGTACCAAAGGTACCAGATCAAGAGAAGACATCGGAGGATATGGAGACGGATGCTTTCTTGGTTGAGGTCCATAAGAAAAGCATTAGCAATGAGATTAGGAAACGTAATAAGGAAAAGAAACTTAGTAAAGCGGTGGAAGATCAAGTATCATTACAAAAAATATCTGATACTGCCTCTAGTATCTCTTCTTCTGAAAAGCTCGTGAGTACAAAAAATGGGCAGGGATTAATTCAAGAAATTACTCGCAACTT